CCCCAGAGGGTATGTTAGGGCAACTGTGGCTCTTCCTGGGTTGCTGCGAGGTGAACTGGCAGGAGCCAACGGACAGTGGAGGAGGAGAGTGGAGCAGGAGCAGCAGCACGGCAAGTGCCGAGGGTCCTCGTATAGAACAGAAACAAAACCCTCTCGTGGGCTGAGGCTTCCTGCCGAGAGGAGGCCATCCTCGGAGCGTCCTTCTGGAGCAGGTGGTCTGTGGAGAGAACAAGTGTGCTTCCCACGGGAACTGCGGACCATCTCCCCCAAGAGAAGATGTACTGCCCACAGCCGGACACAATTAAATATTATTTCTACTGATTTTGAAAGAACTCTCTGACCACTCAGCATGCAGCATTTCCCCCCGGGGTCGAAATGGTCTAGATTGGTATTGCTTGGGCTACAAGTCTGAACAGGTCGGTGACAGCTCCGGGAACCTGGTTAAGCAGGTGGAAAAAGAGGTCGATCTCATAGGAATTTCGTCTAGGTGTGGAAAGAACCCGCGGTTCTCGGTATAAGGTGTGAGACCCACGGGAACACACCTGGAGGACCAGACACCGGGAACGTTGTCTCTTCACCTGCTTTGAATGATAGCCAGAGAGGAGGAAGTGGGGAGATCTGACAAAGGCTGGAGAGAATAGCCAGATTGTGGGGCGAGCTTCAGGGAAAACATCCTAGCTGTTTTTATGTGGGTTGCCCAGGAGCAGCCCCTGAGATTTATTTAGGAAGCGATTCTAGGAAACGCCAAAGGAGATGGGAGAAATAAGACAGGGAAGAGAAGGAGCCAATAAAGGGTGTATTGTTAACTCAACTACCACTGTGAGTGAGGGGCGCTAACCCCACAGGGACCCCCCCAGGAATCGGTGTAGAGCATCCACGCCAGAAACCTGTCGGTCAGGGCTAAGGGAGCTGGGACGCTTATGCACCAACTCCCATTGGTTGCTGTTCGAGGCCTGCTAGTGTTGGGGCCCCTGTGAATTCCTGGGCCCTTCTCCTCTGCTCTCTGTGGGGCAGAGTGGCCACCTTGGCTTCGCAGAGATTCCTGAACCAAGAGACGTCTATACCAGCCGCGAGAGCCTACTGAAGTGGTGAGGCCCCAGGGATACGGTGCTAAGACTCCAACCTGGGGTCTCTGAGAAAAGCCAAGGGGCCCTAGACCAAATCCTAGGAGCAGAAAACACTCAGGCTCTTGGGGTATGTTCCAGGAACACTGCAAGGCTCAGGGAGAGGATGCCCACGCCCCAAGTGCAAATGCCTTGAGCCGTGGAACAGCAGAAACTGAAGGCCTGTGCACTCACCGGTGTGGAGCTCACAGTTGCCAAGCCCTGGGGGTTTCAAATGTGCCGAGAGGCCTGGGGTAGAGAGGACAGAGTGTGGGAAACTTTGAAAGGGGCCATGGCAGGCTGGGATATGGGCCGCAGTTGCAGTGGGGGTCAAGATCAATGTTCAGAGCCTTAGGGAACGGCTTTGAGCAGGCCTGGCTGAGGAGGGAGCCCAGCCAGCCACGCTGCCAGTTCCGTAGCAGCCTCCTCCCCCACCCACTTTAGATCACTCTCAGGGATTAAAGGGGAAGTTTGCTGGCAGCCGCCAACTAACCACCTACACAGATGCCCACATCCAGGTAATGCTTGGCAGCTCTGCATAGCAAACAAATTTGCTTCATTCCTCCCGTTTTGTTCCAAACGGCCAGGCCCTCCACCCACACCTGAAGTCAGGGATGACAAAGGGCTGCCGCTGACCCCCCATGCCCTTCTTTTCCCACCCCCAGGACTAATTGAGTCAAACTTCAGGGGGAACTTCCGCAAGCCCTGGACCCGGACAGAGCCATTCCCTCTCTCTTAACTGACTCACTTCTGTTCTAACCGGTAGTTAACCTATCACGGGTAGTGTAGCTGAACAGAAAAGCCAGCCAGACCTGTCTCTCAGGGGCTCATAGGCATTAGATGTGATAAAATAGCCACAGCGCCAAAAGTTTTCAATGAAGAGGAAAAGAATAAATCAAATATCTGGCCAGATACTCACTCTGGGAAGGAAGGTGGAAGGAAATTTCCATTATTACCATAAACTACCACTGTATGTTTGGATTTTTTTTTTTCTTTACAACGAGCAAGAATGCCTTATGAAACTGAAAGAGAACCAATAAAGACTGCTAAAGTGAATTCGTGGCCAGGAACAGGGCTAGGCAGAGCTCTTGGCAGTGGTCACTATTTTAAAAGGACATGGGGTGGCCCTCTGGTTATAAGAGAAGACATATGGTACTCTTCTAGAAGCTGCATTGCACAACACCCTAAAGAATATTGAGAAAATGTCAGTGGGGATGAATCAGAGAACTGGGGAAAGGGTCTCTTGGAGACTGGGGAGCTTAGAAAGGCAGCTTTTGCTGAGACCGGTCAGTCTGTGCTCATCTTTGGAGAACCGTCCTTGGCTACTCGCTCCTCCTCTGCTCACAGGTGCAAAGAATAGAGACCAGAAAGTGCCAGAGTTTATGTCACCCCAGGATGGGCCATAGCTAATGACTTCCTGGCCAGCTCCCTGCCTTGGGGCAGGACAGCCGTGAGGCTTAATTTACGCTCCAAAGCTCCCCATGGGATCGAACTGAAGCTGGGACTTCGCCTGAAAGTGTCCCTTTGTTTGATTGCTTCCCCTTCCCCATCTCTCTGTCTCACTTCCTATCCATGTCCCCCAGGGGCCAGTCCTTAATAAATCAGCTGCACAGGAATCCTTATCCCAAAGTTGGTTTCCGGGGGACCCATCTTATGAGAGGCAGTGGGCATGGCCCCCTGGATAGAACTGAGCACGGGCCTTGACTAGGAGACAAGACCACCTGCCTGCAGGAACTGTTGTCATTAAACCATCAGTTCTCAATAAGGAAAAGCCCAGAGCGAAGGAGATGCACTTGCCGCTACCACCTGGAGCCTGTGGGAGAGGCCACGTGCTATTGCATGAGGCCGAGACTGCGAGTCATGCCCACTCCTGCCTGTCTCTCCTCTACTAAACGCAGGGCTCAGGTGGCTCATCCTCCAGATGGGGTTATGGAAAAGGAGCCCATCAGCTGTACCACCAAAATCTACCAAGGA